TCGTCTCCATGTTGTTTTCTTTTTTCCTCTGGTGTCCATATGAGAGCTGTTTTGGCAGGTATATCAGGATTCATTCTCATAACGTGGCCTAGCCATTTCCATCTTCTCTTGGTTATCATACTGTCTAAAGTTTCTTGGTTTGTAACTTGAAGTAGTTTAGTGTTTGAGATTGTATCTGGCCAGACAATTTTGATAATTCTACGAAGACATGTGTGGTGGAAGGTGGACAGCTTGTGTGCATCCTTTTTAGTCATTCTTCAGCATTCTGCTCCATAAAGAAGAACTGGCAAAATAATGCTCTTGTAGAGTCGGAGTTTCGTTCCTCTGCAGTAATTATTGGATTTTCAGATTTGCCTCATCCTTCCAAAAGCAGCTGAAGCTTTGTTAAGACGTGACTGTATGTCCTCATCGGTCCCTCCCGGTAGGGACACCACACTGCCAAGATATGTGAAATGTTCTACATTTTCAACAGTTTGGTTATTTATGGTCACTGGTTGTTGGTTTGGGCTGCTTGTCATGATCTTAGTTTTCTTTGTATTTATTCTCAGTCCCACCATTTCTGCTGTGCTGTGTAGTCTGTTACTTTTTTCTTGTCTTTGTTCATGTTTATGTGACAGGAGTGTTATATCATCTGCAAAATCAAGGTCCTCAAGCATGGTGAATGGAGTCCATCGTATGCCTCTCAATGTTTTGTCTACTGTGATCTTTAGTATCCAATCAATCACAAGGTTGAAGAGGAGAGATGACATAACACATCCCTGTCTTACACCTGTCTTCACTGGGAAAGATGTATTGTAATTTTTTATCCTGCAGGGAAAGTCTTTATAGAAGAGAGCAGTTATGTTGACTATTTTTTCTGGAATTCCATAATGTCGTAAAATTTTCCAAAGACCGTCTCTAAGGACCCTGTCAAAAGCTTTCTCAAAGTCCAAAAAATTAATATATATACTTCTCTGCCATTCATTGCATTGTTCTAAAATGTTACGTATGGCGAAGATGTGTTCAGTTGTTCCTCTGCCCCTTCTGAATCCTGCTTGTTCCACTTGACATTAGAAATGCAGTTCATCATCGACGGTAGCAAAAGTCGCCAACAGATCAGCAGTTGCGCACGCGATCAACATTAATCACATAAGTGCACCACTAATATTGTGGCGACAGCCACGCGCCATTTTCTGAATCTACAGTTAACAACACCACGTTGGTCACAGTCGAAAAATATTCCAAATGAAATCCGCAGCTCACAGGGTCGCGCCATGCACTCAACTCAGTAGCTGGTGCGACAAAACTGTATGCTTTCAGTCTACAAATGGATCAAAAATGCAACGGCCACCGTCTGGCAGAAGCAAAACAATTGCCTCGACGCCTTTAAACGTGTTTATCCACCCTTAGGAGCATATTCACTTCCACATTAATTTACATGTCTGCATTTACGTCCGTGTATCATACTTATAAAAGTATTGCTCACACAGAATGTGCCACTATTGTGACGATTACCTTGTATGTCCTTTAGTGTCATTAGTTTGTCAGTATTGTCTGTAATATAGTCTGGTCGTGTCAAGTATTTGGTTATGTCTAGCTTCTAACTTTTGACCTGTCCGTTATGTTCCTAGCACGTTCTGATGGGTGATGTGGATTGTGAGTGAGTTTGCTTGCTTGAGTACGCCCCTCATTACGTTTATCCTCACTAATTTATAGGTTTGTACGACTTCACATGTATATATGCTGTAGTCCAGTTTTCATTTCCTTTAAATATATTTTGGTGACTTGATGACGGTAGTGTTTTCTATGAGGTTCGGTTATAGTTTTCAACATTAGGCTTACTGGCAGGCGCCCCGACCCAAATTTTTCACCAACGTGGGTTATTTTGGCATCAAAATGAATAGGTCACTGAAAAACGTTAAGCGAGACGTTGTCAATGCAGTCATTGCGTTAAAAAATCGGAATGGAACAACAGTCCGAGATATAAGGGATTATTTGCTCAGTCAGGGGAAAATCTCCTGTCATGACGATATTAAACCCGCCGTAATGGCTGCACTCAAGTCCAAAGATCTTTCTCGGCCCCAACCTCGGAGTAGCTTTCTTTTCTGGGGAGGTGGTGGCAACAAAAAGTCACCAGGAGCCATGTCGTCCGTTAGAAAGCATCGGCGACGAAGCGGTTCCAGAAGAAGGCGTCGAAGGTCGGGCGGAAAAGGGCGCAAGAGATTTCGCAGACGTAGGGGTAGACGATCACGCAGGAGGCGTCGAGGCAGGGCGCGCCATCGAAGGATGGTCGTAACGACCAAACGACAACGGCATCGCCTTGCTGACACCTTTCGCGGAAAACTCGGCCGCAAGCTTTTGAAAGCATGCGGCATACGCGGCGAAAAGAAGAAGTTAGTGGTGTTTTGCGCGAGAAGAAAGAAGTGAGCGGACTTGTATCTTATTTTTGTTTCTTTATTTTCAGGCCCTTTTAAGGGCCACTAAAAATATGCAACTTTTAAATAATTTTTTGGTCAATATAATAAAGTACTTAATACTGCAATAATCATAGCAAAACATGTGTCACATAAGCATCATCAGTCTAATCTATCTATCTATCTATCTATCTATCTATCTATCTATCTATCTATCTATCTATCTATCTATCTATCTATCTATCTATCTATCTATCTATCTATCTATCTATCTATCTATCTATCTATCTATCTATCTATCTATCTATCTATCTATCTATCTATCTATCTATCTATCTATCTATCTATCTATCTATCTATCTATCTATCTATCTATCTATCTATCTATCTATCTATCTATCTATCTATCTATCTATCCATCCATCCATCCATCCATCCATCCATCCATCCATCCATCCATCCATCCATCCATCCATCCATCCATCCATCCATCCATCCATCCATCCATCCATCCATCCATCCATCCATCCATCCATCCATCCATCCATCCATCCATCCATCCATCCATCCATCCATCCATCTATCTATCTATCTATCTATCTATCTATCTATCTATCTATCTATCTATCTATCTATCTATCTATCTATCTATCTATCTATCTATCTATCTATCTATCTATCTATCTATCTATCTATCCATCCATTTATCCATCCATCCATCCATCCATCCATCCATCCACCCACCCACCCACCCACCCACCGATCGATCGATCGATCGATCGATCGATCGATCTATCTATCTATCTATCTATCTATCTATCTATCTATCTATCTATCTATCTATCTATCTATCTATCTATCTATCTATCTATCTATCTATCTATCTATCTATCTATCTATCTATCTATCTATCTATCTATCTATCTATCTATCTATCTATCTATCTATCTATCTATCTATCTATCTATCTATCTATCTATCTATCTATCTATCTATCTCTATCTATCTATCTATCTATCTATCTATCTATCTATCTATCTATCTATCTATCTATCTATCTATCTATCTATCTATCTATCTATCTATCTATCTATCTATCTATCTATCTATCTATCTATCTATCTATCTATCTATCTATCTATCTATCTATCTATCTATCATCTATCTATCTATCTATCTATCTATCTATCTATCTATCTATCTATCTATCTATCTATCTATCTATCTATCTATCTATCTATCTATCTATCTATCTATCTATCTATCTATCTATCTATCTATCTATCTATCTATCTATCTATCTATCTATCTATCTATCTATCTATCTATCTATCTATCTATCTATCTATCTATCTATCTATCTATCTATCTATCTATCTATCTATCTATCTATCTATCTATCTATCTATCTATCTATCTATCTGTCTGTCTGTCTGTCTGTCTGTCACAGACCTCGGGGTGACCTTGATGGTCCGTGGCTCGGAACTGGGCCTATGACATACCACGTCTGGCTGTATATATACAGTCCTGACAACTGAATCACGGTGCATTTTGGAGGAGTCCCTCGAAAATAGGTTAGAGCAAGCGTTTTCATGTTGCATTGTGTGACATTTTAATTTGCTTACAAAGTTCTGTGTTCTAGACGTATTCGTATTACAAATCTACAAGCGGATATTGTGAAGTGGATATACAGCAATTTTAATTTTAATTTAATTCACGGAAGACAGTCGTGTTTTGATGTGTGTGTCACTGTTTCCAGTCAGTAGTTTGGACTTTTGGGAACTGGCTGTTTATTCTGTTTCTTTTTTGAATGTAGAAATTTTACTTTTAGGGAAAGTACAAACAGGTAATTTATCTGGAGAATATCGACAGTTGTCAGGTGCAAACTACCTTGTGTTGGAAGAAAAATATTGCTTTCATATTGACTGTGCATAAATGGTGCAACGACACTGTTGATAAATTGTGTCAAGATATTTCGGAGCTCTAGGTATGTGGATGAAAATAATATTTAATTTACTAACTAACCTCTCACAGCAAGTCACTCTTTGCCTCTTTACTAATTGTTGACTAACAGTATAATTATATGTTGTAGCAGTACACTAATAATATTAATCCTTAACCATTTGACTTATGCTTTGCGAACACTGGCTGTAAACTCTTGCGGAAACTTCTGGTAGTTCATCGACTTTTTATGCATATTTGCAGTTGTACGGTCTGTGTTAATTTTTGTAAACTGGCTTTTGCTTTGCTTCTCGAACACTGGCTGTAAACTCTTGCGGAAACTTCTGGTTGTTCATCCACTTCTTATGCATATTTGTTACCACAAAATTCGCAATGATAAGGAATAGATTTCATCCAACAAGATGAAACTGGACAAATTCGTTTGTGCTGTTTGTACCTTGGGGATACATATTTAGTAGTGCTATAAGTACTATTAAGAAAACTACTCTGGGTGAAAAAAGTATTGCACATATCAATTTCATACCGATTGTGCTTGTTTACTAATTATTTTTAAAAAAGTATAGTTATATGTTGTAGTAGTCTACTACTAATAATAATAACCATCAATCATTTATATTTATGTTATGTATGACATGTGTATGTTACATAGCAGTATTTTTATGTGCTAAATTTTATAAAGTACAAATTTCCCCCCCCCCCCCCCCCCACCCCTCCCCCCCCCCCCCCCCCCCCCGCTCATCTGATGCAACAATACCCTCTCAGAATCAAAGAGTTAGCACTGATATTTCTTTACTTTTGCTGTATAGTTCTAAAAAAATATGTCGAAAATTAATGAAACTGTAGTTTAATTTGTGTATACATCTCCTCGATAAAAACTGTGGACGCAGAGAGACTCAATTCTTGCACAAGAACGGGAATTCCCGTTTGAGCTGTACGGCCTTATAAATCTGGAGCTGGCCGTGGACAGACAAACTAACCTTTAACACACACTGAACCTGAACGCACACAGAGCTCACATGACAATCTTTATTGCGAGTACAGTTAAAACAACAGACAGTTAACTTCCCGCTGTGTGGCCACCTATTGCCTGGACCATCTGGCCGAACGAGCTTAACAGTCGCCTCGCTCCCCAGTACGTTCCACAGGCAATCTCCGGTGCACGAACCCCACTGGCACGGGATACGCTCTTACCTATCGACACACTGACCTAGCAAGATGTCTCAGCCTCTGTCTAGTGCAGGGTTCGCGTGACAAGGTTAGACATTCTCTCACAGAACATGTAACTAAACGATCTAACTGGTCAGAAGTAACTGGACACTAGTTACTTATTGTGGCCCAACACAATACCTTGTATCAGTTAAATACACAGCACAAAAGACTATCCTATTCTAACAGAACACTGTAAATACTCTATGCAGTCACTAAAGAAAATCCTAACTCTAATATCCTATCACTGTCTCGCTAACACGTCTGCTCCCTCTGAACACTGTACACTCAATCCCCTGTGTTTTTTCACCTCCTGTCTTTTGACCCGTTCACCTGCTCAGTCCCCAAAGGAGTAATCGTGTTGCGAACTTGTCTGCAACAGAGTTCACTCTTTCTTGTCGTGGCCAAGTGGTTTCTACTGAGCGATAGTTTCACCGTGCAAACAGCACAGACTTGGCCAGTCACGGCACTGACCTTTGAGTCAACCCTGGGGTGTCACCTAAACACGGTACACCCTAGGGTGTGGTCCATTCCGCCACTAACTGTACTCACAGGGTTGTGACACTATCTATCTATCTATCTATCTATCTATCTATATATCTATCTATCTATCTATCTATCTATCTAATCTATCTATCTATCTATCTATCTATCTATCTATCTATCTATCTATCTATCTATCTATCTATCTATCTATCTATCTATCTATCTATCTATCTATCTATCTATCTATCTATCTATCTATCTATCTATCTATCTATCTATCTATCTATCTATCTATCTATCTATCTATCTATCTATCTATCTATCTATCTATCTATCTATCTATCTATCTATCTATCTATCTATCTATCTATCTATCTGTCTATCTGTCTATCTGTCTATCTGTCTGTCTGTCTGTCTGTCTGTCTGTCTGTCTGTCTGTCTGTCTGTCTGTCTGTCTGTCTGTCTGTCTGTCTGTCTGTCTGTCTGTCTGTCTGTCTGTCTGTCTGTCTGCCTGCCTGCCTGCCTGTCTGCCTGCCTGCCTGCCTGCCTGCCTGCCTGCCTGCCTGCCTGCCTGCCTGCCTGTCTGTCTGTCTGTCTGTCTGTCTGTCTGTCTGTCTGTCTGTCTGTCTGTCTGTCTGTCTGTCTGTCTGTCTGTCTGTCTGTCCGTCCGTCCATCTACGTGTCTGTCTGTGAGGAGTGTAAACACTGAGTAGGGTGGGTAGGGGCGCGTTTGTACAAACTACTGATACTGGATAGGGGTATTAATTTTTAGGCTATGCGGTGCATCATAGCCCATGAGTTGCAATAAAGAAATATCTGCCAATTCAATGCAGAGTAAACTTGATCGCATCTCCTCCTGGTGTGCGGATTCTAATGCTCATGTCAACCATTCGAAGGCCTCAGTAACGTGGTTCTCCTTGAACACGCATATAGTAAAGGCAAATTTACCAGCAGTGGAAAGCAACGAGAAAATTTTGACGAGAACAAATCTGATGACATACCTCGGAGTGAGGTTTGATCGCAGCCTATCTTTTAAACAACATGTTGACATGTCATAACAAAAGCACGCAAAGGCCTGTCAGCAATGAGGATCCTAGCCACCGCTAACACTGAGCGGAGACTGCTTCTGCTTCTGTTCCAGGGACTTGTACTTTCTCAAATGGAATATGCTCTTACCATCCTCTTTTTCAGCCACACTCAGATCGAAAGACTTGAGGAGGTGCAAAAAGAAGCATTGCGCATTATTCTGGGGTGTACTGGAGACATCTCTCGTGTAGCAATGAGGTACCTTCTTGACTTTTTTTACCATGACCTACAAGATCAATATCTGGAGCGCTCGTGCATACCTCAAGAGAGCTC